CATTTTGACAGAGGTTCTAGACAGATAATTCTCTGGCAAAAAGGTATTCACTTCAACATACAATGTTCGGACAATGACACATATGTATGCAGAGAAAAAAAGGAACCCTAACCTTGCACCAAATGCAAACATTAACTTTAAAATAAATCAGGAATCTAAATGTGAGTTCTATACTCCTTCTTGAAGAAAACTTATGGGAAAACATTTTGTGATTCTGACTTAGGAGAGAAGCAGCACAAATCATAAAGAAAAAATCATAAATTGGACTTCATCATAATTAAAAATGTCTGCTTTCTGAAAGACATTTTTGAATGAAAAGATAAGCAATATATTCAGAAAATATCAACAAGCAAATATCTGACAAAGGGTTTCTATCCTCAAGACATAAAGTTGTCTTAGTATAAGAAAGAAATCCAACTTTGAAATGGGCACATTTACTTCACTGAAGATAAATGATTATGAAAGATGCTCAGTATCAGTAGTCATTAGAGATGACTGACACAAATTAAAACTCAGTATGACTATACATTTACTATGAGGCTAAAACTTTAAAAATGAATGAAACCAAGTGGTGGCAAGATGTGAAGCAACTGGAATTATCACATATTGCTTGTGGAAAAGTATAATGTACAATCACTCTGGGAAACTGTTCGGCTGTTTCTTTTCAAGTTAAACATACACTTCCATACATGATCCAGAAATTCCACTCCTAGTGTTTACCCAGAAGATAAAACATAAACTTATAACAAAACCTGTATATAAATACTTATAGCAACTTTATTCATAATTGCCCCAGACTGGAAACAACACAAATAACCATCAACAGGGAAACAGATTAAAAAAAAAACAAGTATAGTAATTGTCAATGAAATATCAGTGAATAACCGCATGTATAAATCTCAAAAACATTCTGCTAAGTGAAGGAAGACAGACAAAAAGAGTACGTATCCTCTAATTCAATTTATATGAAATTCGTAAAAATGCTAAAAAAGTAGAGGCAGAAATCATTGCCCGGGGCTGGGAGCGAAACAAGGGACTGACTGCAGAGGGGAATTAGAGAACTTTTGAGGATGATAGAAATGTTCTGGTATCTTGAGTAGAATAGTGGTTATATGATATACATGTGTCAAAACACATCAAACTGTATATTATTTGAAAGGGCGAATTTTACTGTTTGTAAATTATACATTAATAAACCTATTCTTTAAAAAACTATGCAGACCTGTACAGGCTTTTAATATATATTGCCAAATGGTCCTTCCATTAACTTAATTTCTTCTACTCCCACTGAATTTACATTCCCACTGGCATTCTATATTTCATCAGACCCAATATAATCAGATTATCATTTTAGACTTTTCCCAATTGGTAAGTTCTTTAAAAATGTTGCCTGTTTTTATTTGCATATCTGTAAGTTTTTAGTGATAGGGAACTTTTTCACATCTATTTCTTGGACAGTCGTATTTCTTCTCTGTTCTGTACATTCATTCCTTTTAATTATTGTTTTAAGAAAGTATTTGGGGTTTTCATTTTTTATATCTTCCTATATATCCTCAAATATTTGTCATAATATACTTCCCACTTTCTCATTTGCCTTTCATTTTCTCAATTTTTAAATATAAAGACAGTTTAAAATTAGAAATCTCAGTACTTTCTAAGATTTTTTTTTGTACTTTTATTTAGAAATTTCTTTCCTCATGTAAACTTCACTTGAATATTCAATTATATTTTTTGTCATTGGTTTTACAGACTCAGTTAACTTTTAAAACCTCTCCTGTCTAATGCAGTAGCTACTAGCCACAGTAGTTATTAAAATTTAAATAAAATTAAGTTTCCCCCCCATGTTTTCTACTAGTTTTATCATTTTAAGTTTTACATTTAAGTCTCTAATCCTCTTCAGGTTAGTTTCTGTGTGTAGCGTAAGAAAAGAGTCCAATTTCATTCTTTGGCATATGGCTATCCAGCGTTCCCACACCATTTATTTATTGAAGAGACTGTTCTTTTCCCATTGTATATTCTTGCACCCTGATTGAAAATTATTTGATCATATATGCCTGGGTTTATTTCTGAGCTCTCTAATCTGTTCCATTGGTCTGTGTCTGTTTTTATGCCAAGAACACGTTGTTCTAATTACTCTAGCATTGTAGAGTTTGAAATCAAGAACTACAGTATCCCCAGCTTTGTTCTTTTTCTCAAGATTGCTTTGACTATGCAGGATCTTCTGTGGTTCCATACAAATTTTAAGATTGTATTTTCAATTTCTATGAAAAATGGCATTGAAATTTTGATAGAGATTGCACTAAATCTGTAGATTCCTTTGGGTAGTTTGGATATTTTAACAACATTAATTCTTCCACTCCATAAACACGGGTCTTAGCAATGATGTTTTTCAATTTAAACCAAGAGCATAGGCAACAAAACCAAAATAAACAAGACTATATCAAACTAAAAAGATTCTATACAGCAAAGAAAACCATCAACAAAATAGAAGACAACCTAAAGAATGGGAGAAAATATTTGCAAACCATGTATCTGATAAGGGTTAATACCCAAAGTACGTAAGAATTCATTACCAACAACAAAAACAAACCCAAATTATCCAATTAAAAACTGGGCAGAGAACCCGAATGGCATTTTCCTAAAGAAGACATGCAAATGGCCAAAGGCATATGAGACATCACCTCACACTTGTTAGGGTGGTTATTATAAAAAAGACAAGAGATAAGCTATGGTGAGGGTGTAGAGAAAAGGGAACACTTTTGGTGGTGGATTGTGAACTGGTATAGTTATTATGGAAAACAATATAAAAGTCTCCTCAAAAAAATTAAAAATAGAACTACCATATGATTCAGCAATCCCACTTCTGGGTATATACTCAAAAGAAAAGAAATCATTATCTTGAAGAGATATCTGTAGTCCCATGATATTGCATCATTAGTCACAATAGCCAAGATATGTAAATAAACATAGTGTCCACTGATGGAGAAATGGATAAAGAAAATGTGATAAATACACACGCACGCACACACATGCAGTGGAATATTATTCAGCCATAAAAAAGAAATATGTCATTTGTGACAATATGAAAGAACCCAGAGGACATTATGCTAAGGAAATAAGCCAGACACAGGAAAACAAATACTATATGCTCTCACTCACATGTGGCATGTGAAACTTATAGAACCAGAGTATAGCAGTGGTTGTCAAAGGTTGGGGGATAGCGGAAATGGGGAGATGTTGGTCAAAGGGCACAAACTTTTAGGTAGACGATGAGTAAGCTCTGAGGATCTAATATACAGCATGGTGAAGACTGTTAATAATGCCGTATACTTCAAATTTGCTAAAAGAGTAGGTCTTAAGTGTTCTTACCATAAAACAAAACAGAAAAAAGGTTAACTATGTAAGGTGATGAATGTGTTAACTTGATTATGGTAATCACTTAAAAAAATTTTTAGAACAGTGTTTAGATTCAATTCTGGTAAATTTAAAGCAATTTAGGTAAAACTGAATGGGAAGTACAGTGAGTTCTCATACACTCACTGTCCCCCACCAAATACAGCCTCCCCTACTACCTACATCCCACACCACAGTATTACATATGTTACAACTGGATAAATCTACATCGACACATCATCACCACCAAAAGTTTATAGTATGCATCAGAATTCATCCCTGGTGTTGTACATTCTATGGGCTTGACAAATGTATAACACGTATCCTCCACTGCAGTATCATACAGAACAGTTTCACTGCCCTAAAATCCTCTGTGCTCCACCTACTCTTCCCTCCCTCCCCCATAACCCTGGGAAATCACCTATCTTTTTAATGTCCCCATAGTTTTGCCTTCTCTAAAATGTTATGTAATTGAAATTGTACAGATTTTCATTTAGTAATATGCATTACTTAAGGTTCCTCCATGTCTGTTCATGTCTTGCTTTCTTCTTTCTTTGTTTATCCTCACCTGAGGACATTTTTGCATTCATCTTCAGATAGAGCAGGAGGGGGAGAGAGAGAGACATATCGAATGGTTGCCACCCACATGACCCCAACTGGGGCCAGGGACAAACTGCAACTGAGGTACGTGCCCTTAGTGGGAACGGAACCCAGGACTCTCCAGTCCATGGGCCGACGCTCAACCCACTGAGCCAAACTGGCCAGAGCTTGCTCATCTCTTTTTAACACTGACTAATATTGCCTTATCTGGATATGCCACAGTTTATTTATCCATTCACCTATTAAAGGACATATTGGTTGCTTCAAATTTTGGCAGTTACAAAGAAAGCTGCTATACACATCTATGTGTAGATTTTTGTGTAGTTTTAAGTTTTCAATTCCTTTGGGTAAATACCAAGAAGTACAATCACTAAATCAAATATTAAGAATGTTCAGTTTTGTAATAAAGTACCAAATCGTCTTCCACAGCAGTCATCCCATTTTGCATTCCCAACAGCAATGAATAAGAGTACTTGTTGCTACATGTTCTCTCCAGCATTTGGTGTTGTACCCCCATTTCAAATGCTTAATGGCCACTTGTGGCTAATGGCAACTGTACTGAACAGTAGTAGACAGAATATGTCCATCATCACAGAAAGTTTTATTGGAAATGCTGCTCTATTTAAAGCTTAATTATTTTACACAGTAGAATAGCAACTAATGTGACAGCTTTTTATTTTTTTCTTTGCATAAAATCCATCCCTTCTCCCACTGGATATTAATGGGTCTTTGTTTGTATTTGCTCAGAGGGTCAAATTCCTGTTCAGCCGCTTCTTAACTATTTGCCCATTAACAAATTATTTAACCCTTCTGAGTCTCAATTTCGTCACCCTAATTACTTACCAGTTAAGTGCATTAAATTAGATAAGCAAGGTAAGATAAATTACCACATTCATCAGGCTATGTCCTCATTTATAAACCATCTGGGTTAGGAGGTTTTTTGTGGTATATCTCAGTACAGTACTTTGAGGACCCTTTATTAAAGCAAAGTTTAATATTACATTTACCTGATCTGGATTTTTGTAACCCAAAAGTAGATTCGCTGCTTTTATATCACCATGAACATATTCATTTTCATGTACATATTCCAGTACATCCAACTGTGGAAAGAAATACGTAAGGTTATACTGATGTCTATTTAGAACTCATAATCAACTTGAACGTGTGGAGTTTACAATAACATGTATTTTTGTTTTTTCATATTAAGAATGACAAAGTGACATGCTTAACACTTATTTAAATATATTTTCCAAAATATCACAATGTACTGGTTGCTCATCCTAGGAAAGGTTGAATAAAATGACCCTCAAATATCCAGTGTTTTCATTGAACATCTGCTGAAAGGAAACCAAGATTCAACACCTATGCCTATATTCCTGATAGCCTGGTGGCCAAATCACACTGTGCAAACAGGAAAAACAGGAAAATCAGACATACAAAGTGAAATAATCATGAAGTCCACTCAGCAATTCCTTACCCAAGGAGTAATTATAAATCAAGTTCCAGGGACCCCAGAACAAACGTGTCCATGAGCAAAGAGAAGGCATCCTCCCTCCGTAGAGCAAGAGAATAACCTTAGTTTCATCTTGGAATCCCTTGAGCCTTGCATGTTACCTACACCCGGTGCTCAGTACACATTTGCTAGCTGGCTAGATGGATGAATGGACAAATGAAAAAATTAATGAGTTCTATTTGCCACATCCCAACCTGGCATGAGTATTTTCATTCTACTTAAAATGGAAATAAATAAATAAATAAATAAATAAATAAATAAATAAATAAATAAAATGGAGCTTAGGCAAACCAAACACAAACAAGATAAGACAAATACGTGGTATAAACAAAATGTGTGCATGGGTGCCATTAAGATTTCATTGCCTCATATTTGGCAAAGTATATATTATTCATTGCCATACTAATTACTACCACCATCCCAAACTCATAATAAAAACTTTATAGCACCCTCATACCATCATGTGTTTAGTATGGAAAATAATATAATCTGCCATAGTTTGCATTGCTATAAATATAACTAACAAAAGAGATGCTATTCTTATAGCCATGTAAGCTCGTTCTGATATGTAAAACAAAGCCGTGTGCAGAGAAATCAGACTGTAGAACCAATGCCTAGGTGAGCTTGTAGTGCCAAGCACAGCTACTCTATCACTCACAGAGCCCAGAGTGATCAATTACACGGAAGTAGCCTCTCCTCTCAGTAACTGACATTTCTAGGGCAACAATCCCTCATTCTCTGATAATTCGACAAGGGGCAACAATTTGTAACAAGTAAATAATCTGAAAATGAAATAAGTCATCCCTTCTTACCATTCGAACACCTAGCTGCAGGACAGTTGACTTTTTAAAAGTACCATTCTGGTCAGAGATCTTCTGTAAATCCATGCCTAGTCTTTCCATTACCATAAATCTGTAACTGTAAGAAGATGTCAAAAAGAGATCTTAAGATAGCAATGCTTGAAACTTTCTATTTATGAGCTGAAACAAGAAAAAATATACCCAGACTAACAACAGAGAATGGTGCAATATGAACCATTAGAGGATAAATGTATATTAATAATGCCGTTCCTTTGCAGAAAGATATTATTTAGTATTTTACTTTGCAGTTAAGTTTCCTAGAAGAGAATGTTGTGCTGAACCACTCACTGTCTTAGATCATGAAGAAAAAAAAATTAGTCATGAATTTAGTTCATTTTGACTCCATCACCTTCTTGCTATATAGCCTTGAACAAATTATTTGTTCATACAGAAAATTGTATTTATATTTGTTTTTGACCTTTTAAAATTATACTTACTATCTCTATACATTTATAAACATGCCTTTATATTCCATTTTTTTTCTTCTTTCTTTATTGGTTTTAGAGAGAGAGATAGAAACATAGATGAGAGAGAATATCGACTGGCCGCCTCCCGCATGCCCCCCACTGGGGACCTGGCCCACAACCTGGGCATGTGCCCTAACCAGGAATTGAACCAGTGACCACATGGGTCAACGCTCAACCACCGAGCCACACCGGCTGGGCATAAACATGCCTTTTTAAAAACTGCCTGTTTTCCTTTCTTCCTTGTTTGTCAACTCTACCCCTTCTTTTCTTCCCTTCACTTACACACCCACATAGGACCCTATTCTGTATCTATCTATGTATGCAACACAAACACAGACATAAAGAAATGTTTGTCTTTGTTTTACAAAAAATGTGATCTTCTTATTTGTACTTTTCTGCATCATATGTTTTTCAGTAGTATCTCACTGAAATCCTTCCAAGTCAACTGGTATAGCTCTGATTTACTTAATGAGCTGTATAATAATGCATGATATGGATGTACCTTGCTTAGCCATTCAGTCCCTTTGGGGTAGCCCTTTACTTTGTTACAAGATTATTGTTCATTCATTTTGTTCTATTTAAAGACCATTTGAGCAAAGCACTGACCTCTGAGACTATTTTCTCACCTAGGGAAATATATATCACCTATTTTAGAAGGCTGTTGAAAAGACAAAATGGGTACCTAAAAAGTGACAGTATTTTTTTCTTTTTAAAATCACTATTAGTGAATTATTTATATGTGGTGATTACCTATATTTGGTGGGTTTAAAAATATTTCTAAAATGTATTATTTTGCCTCTCCTCAAGAGATAGAGCATAATTCTCCTGTCTTGAGAATGGGGTACATTTAATGACTTGCTTCCAGCAGAGAGAATACAGTAGAAATGATAAGATATCACTTCTCAGCTGAGACTATAAAGAACTGTGACTTGCTCCTTGGATGCATGCTCGTGTGTGCACACGTGTGCTCTCTTCCTCCCTTTCAGTTACTGCTCTAGGGGAAGCTGGCTGCCATGTCTGTATAGCTCTGGGGCAGCCTATGGAGAGGTAGGTCTACATGGTGAGAACATGAGGCCTGCCAGCAATCACATGAGTGTATTTAGAAGCAGATTTTCTTAGACTTGCCAACAGCCACTTCAGTGTCGTTTAAAGTAGACCTTCCCCAGTCTAGCCTTGAGATGACTGCAGCCTGAGACAGCTGACTATATCCTCATAAGCAGTCCTGAGCTAGAATCATTCAGGTAAGCCAGTTATAGATAATTGACCCACAGAAATCAAGATAATATCAGTTTATTCTTATAAGCCACTACAGTTTGGGTCATTTGTTATATAGCAAACAGATAATTAATAGACCACATAAGTAATAGTGATTGGATAATATTTAATTATAATAATTCCATTTTACCGTCTTCCCATGAATTCAGTAAGACCAGATCCATAAAACAGAGGAATTCCTAAATAATCAAGCTGTTTTTGTTCTATCCATTTTTTTACTGCAAAGACAGGGAAAAAAAGATATGTTTTTTAGAAAGGTATTTCTCACTTTTACAATGACGCTAAAACTTATTTAGCTAACCTAAATAGAAATTAGGCCTTCTTAAAACATTTTTTTAAGAAATTAAATATATCTATCTAATGTTTTCAAATTCTATTTATCACTATAATGAACACAAAAACATATAGAAAATTTTAAAATTAAATTATAACAAAAAGTAGTCAGTCATAAAATGTAATTTTATCATATACACATGTTTCTATTCATGAAAAAATTAATTCCCTTATATACTAAATTTTTAAATATAACATGTTAACCACCAAAGGATCAGTGGGGAGATTAGATGGCTTTACTTCCTCATTAAAAATCTAAAGCCATGGTAATCAAAAAAACAGAAATTGGTCAGAAAAATCATCTTACTCTGAAAGTATATTATACAGACATTTTTGGTTAAATTTAGTTTTTTAAAAAAATTAAAACCACTTAAAATAATCAGGTAACTTATTTCATTTTTCACTTTTCTACCACGTACGTTTAACGTTTAAGACAGCTCTACTGATAAACAATCAAGTTTAATGGATTCTATTTGTCACCCTGACATACTTTAAGTAGTCAGTAAAGACTAGAGTCTTAATGCTTAGGAGGTTTTATTAAGGGAAAAAAGTTAATTGTTGAGGCTAGACTCATCATTCTTTTTCCTAAACATAATATAAAGGACCCTGACTATGAAGTCGTTACGCACATCAACTTCCTTAAAGCTTCATTTAATTCATATATAACTTACAGCATTTATGAAATACTTTCATTCTTCTTCAACTCTGTTCATATTCATTTCACATTCATATCCTCTAATTGGTAGTTTTTATATCTGATACTCTGCTCCAATTAATTTCCCAACATTCATATTCTAACATTTTTAACTTATTTTCTAAATCATAATATTTAATCATAACCATACATCTTACCTTAATCCAAGCTAAGATCATTCATTTTATTAATATACCTACTGCCCATTTTAATTATTTTTCCTTACATCCTTCCTATCCAAATATTTTTTTTAGTTAGTTATATTCTACCATCATTTACATTTAGAGAACTCCTGGTAGCTTGGATCAACAACACAACATTTTATGTAAAGTAGTATAAACAACTTTGAAATATATAACCCATTATTATGTAATATCAAAACTTGTACACCATCTGTCTTTTTTATGTTTTAACAGTTAACTGAATCATTTTACAATAACATTTCTAATTGAAAAGAATTTTCCAGAAGGCTAGAAAAAGACAAAAATATTTACACTCATTTTAGCAAGCATATATATGGAAGTAACTTGCTTTGCTAATTTTACTTACTACATTCTTTTTTTGCAGCTCTTTGGTAAAATTTAAGTTCTGAAAATAATGGGCCATTTTCTTGATACTCCTATAAAAAAAGAACAATTAATTTTATTTTTTAAATTATAAAGATAAAGTTGGTATTACAACTATGAAAATATGAATATACATATATTATATAATAGTACTTGAATCATTTATTATAAAAAAAAAACACAAGCACCAGATTTCCACTAAAACTCTCAAAAAAAAAAAAAAAACCAACTAAAAAAAACTTGAAGAATCTCATTTTTAAATATATTGTAATGCTATCTCTATACCCTCTTACACACGAAAGGAGTCTTACTGAAAGAACATACTGAAGGCACTGAGGACTGTACGCACACACAGATAGTCAGTGTGTACCAACATGCACAGCAGGGGATATGATACACTGCAAACTACCTGGTGGTTCATTCCACATGATACCTTCACTGAGTAGCTATTGTATTTCATTCATTGCACTAGGCACAGGGGATACAAACAAAAATGTAACCTCATACCTGACTGTAAAGACCATACAATCTATGGAGGAAGAAGGAGGGAAGTAGGGGAGGGAGGAGGGGTTATATAGCTAGATAAGATACAAGGATTACAAGTGTTACCACAGAAGAACAAAGTTCTCCAGTCTTTATATTTTAACAACGTAAACTATATCATAATGTTAGGTTTAATGGCAAGTAAAATTGTGAAAACTATGATGAGAAACATTTTTTAAAAAATAAAATGAATAAAGCAGAAAAAAAGTCAAATATATGTGAAATACTAATTTAAGAGCAATACTTACCACTTTTATTACATGTCTTGCATCTTTATGTGGTTCATTTGCGGGGAAAGCTGCAGAACAAAACACAATGGGGAAAACATAGTCATTCCAAATTATTGAATGCCTATTATATTCCAGACACTGTGCTAAGCACCTCACATACATTAGTTCATTACATCTTCCCATGAACCTCTTACATTAGGTATCATCTCCATTTTACCAAAGATCCTACTAAGGTTTGATAAGTTGAATAATTTGCTAACAAGAAGCAGACTGTCAAATCTGTCTGACACCACAGCACACACTCTTTACCACAAACCATATTCAAATACTCAGACAAGTAAAACTAACAAATGATATTAATCACATGGATCTCAATGTTGGGTAAATATTTTCTAGATATATATCACTAAACCCAATAAATGATATATAGTAAACTACTGATTCAATTTTACTAAATTAAAATCTATGATACTCAGAAATAAAAACTGATTCATTTCAAATAGAAAGTCTGAAACAAAAATGAAACTAGACCATCAACTTACACCATACACAAGAATAAACTCAAAATGGATAAAAGACTTAAAGGTGACTCATGAATCCATAAAAATCTTAGAAGAAAATGTAGGCAACAAAATTTCAGACATCACATGCAGCAGAATTTTCACTGATACATCACCTAAAGCAACAGAAACAAAGGAGAAAATGAACACATGGGAATACATCAAACTCAAAAGCTTCTGCACAGCAAAAGATACAATCATCAAAATGGAAAGGCAACCCACTGTATGGGAGAACATCATTGCCAATGATACATCAGATAAGGGATTAATTTCCAATATATAGAGAGTGCTCATACAACTCAACAAAAGGAAGACAAAGAACTCAATTAAAAAATGGGCAGAGGAACTAAATAGACACCTCTCCAAACAGGGCATACAAATGGCTAAGAGACACATGAAGAAATGCTCAACATGACTAATCATCAGAGAGATGCAAATTAAAACAACAATGAGGTATCACTTCACATCCGTCAGAATGGCCGCTATCAACAAATCATGAAACAACAAGTGTTGGCGAGGGTGTGGAGAAAAGGGGAATCTAGTACACTGCTGGTGGGAATGCAGACTGGTGCAGCCACTATGAAAAACAATATGGTGTTACCTCAAAAAATTAAAAATTAAACTGCCATTTGACCCAGTGATTCCACTTCTAGGAATATATCCTAAGAAGCCTGAAACACCAATCAGAAAGAATATATGTACCCCCATGTTTGTAGCAGCACTATTTACAATAGCTAAGATCTGGAAACAGCCCAAGTGTCCATCAGTAGACGAATGGATAAAAAAGCTGTGGTACATATACACAACGAAGTACTATGCAGCTGTAAGAAAGAAAGATCTCTTATCCTTTAAGGCGACATGGAGGGACCTGGAAAGTATTATCCTAAGCGAAACAAGCCAAACAGAGAAAGACAAGTTTCATATGATCTTACTTATTTATGGGATATAATGAACATAACAGTCTGAGGAATGGGGTAGTCCCAAAGACGTTGAAGTGGGGTACAGACTGACAATCCCCAGAAGAGGTGGTGGTGGGGGAGAGATAAACCACAGAGCTTATATGCATGTGTGCATGAACAATGGATATGGACAACAAGCTGGGGGCAGGACGGGGAGGGGGGGGGGGGGAATCAGTGGAGGGAAAAGGAGAAACATCTGTAACAAAAATAAATTTTTTAAAATTAAAAATAAAAAAAGAAAGTTCAGAACAATTTCTACTTTATAAAATTCTAAAATAAGCCATGTTAGAATAAGAACAATGTCTTTTAAAAAGTTTCTTCTGAGCCTAGCTATAAATTATTCCAACATCAAAGTATATCTCGCCTGGACAGTGTAGCCCAGTGGCTGAGCGCTGACCCATGCAGCAAGGGCTCATGCCCAGGTTGTGGGCTTGGTCCCAAGTGGGGGTGCATGCAGGAGTGAGAAAATTGATCTTCTCTCTCATCAATGTTTCTATCCCTCTCTCTAAATTCAATTAAAAAAAAAAAAAAGAATATATATCTCATAATATAAGCTCATTTCAAGCTATCTTACTTCATTTTATTATTTACCACTTGCATTTTGGATATCATAATCAAACTTCTAAAAACTCAATTGTTAAATTTTAGATCAAATCAGTATTTTCCTCTACATTATCTAAATTATTAAAAGATTCCTGTTTTCAAATCATGATCAGAGAAGTTGACATATGTATTTGATTGTGAAGTCTAGAATTTTGTCATTCATCTGTTCACTCTTCAGCCATTTATTCATTCATTCAAATAACCAATATGTATTTACCAAGAGGCTAGAATATGCGAGCATTGTGTCAGGATGATGTTTAAAGGGAAGTGAAAGGAAAAAAGGTGAAACTAGTGTTGAATACAACTGAAAATCAGCACTTAGACTGAGCACAAGATCAAATGCTTCAGGTATGTTTTCAGTGTTTATCAAAATGCTATTCACTATTCCCAACATTTTTCCTTTTCTTTCTCCTAAATCTATCAACTGTTCTATTAATTCACATGATAGATGTAAATAGCATATCAAAACTTCATTAGAGTGGACAATTTGTGCTTTAAAGTGGTACACATACGCAATTTTTTAAACCATTCTTCAAAATTTTGATGTCAGCGATGTTATTAGCCAATTGAAGAAATTATTACTTCAATTTTTGTGGATATTACATATAATTTGTGAACCCAGACCTCTTTACAGTAACAAAGAAACTAAACTTATATCAATTAAATTTCTCTTTTCATCTTTATTCACATAAAATCATTTCATTTTCACTCATGCAATAGTCCTGAGGGAGCTGCAGGAGTGAATTATCCATATCTAAGGAAGGGGGAAACATACACCTAAGAAGGGATCCAGTCCTGCTATAGAAGAAGAGGTGAGAACAGCCTTTCCTACCATCCAATGGTGAATTATTTTTACTAGTATAATGCCCTAGGTTGGGGAGAAACAGCCCTGCCCCAACTCTGGTCCACTTAGTACGGTACTGACTCTAGAAAATGGTCATTGCTTTCTGAAGTACAATTGGGTGAAAAATGTCCCGCTTCTGGTCGAAAAGCAAGTGGCCACAGCAGCAAACAAATCTTTAAGCCAAACAGAATGTAAAAAGCAGACAAGCACAAAAGGAAAATGGGAATTTCAGCTAGATAAATAATGCATTATATTGCCATTGGGAAGAAAGAGATCCAACCAGTCCAAAGCCCTACTCCTTGCTGATTTCAATCAGTACATCCCACCACTGTATAATCTGAATCTTTCTGTCACATTATTTCACATAACATAATCATGTGTTGACATATACTTGAAACATCCCCATATTTACATTTGATAGCTACACAATGTTCTCTATAAACTTCCAAGTCAGATTATATTGGAGAGCCTAAATCCAAAATCAATTGACTAGAAAGCTCTTGGAGATGGATGTTAAACAAATAAATTGTCTTAGTTACTATGGAGTCCTCTTACAGTAATCAATCAGTTAATTAATGAAACAAATATTTATTTTCCACTGTAAGCCAAAGCCACATTCTAGCTAGTGAAATTAAATGATCATGGAAAGCAGACATGGTATCTGCTTTTATAGTCTAGTGGAGAAATGAGACATTCATCAAATATTCATATACAAGTGTAAAACTGTAATTATAACAAATGCTAAAGGGAGAGGTAGATGCTACTATAAGAATATATAATTTAATTTAGATAAAAGGCAATGCTTGAGCAAGACTAGGTGGAGAGGTAGTAAAGGGCTATATGAAAATCTAGTTAATAATTTCTAATGAAAGGATTTTAGAAGCTTGAGGCATATATGGAAGATAGAAAACATATAATTAGATTTGCGTTCTGAGCAGATCACTACACTACACTGTGGAGAACAGAATGAAGGGAACCACAGTAGGTACTGACAGATCGATAAGGATTTAATAATGTTACATATAAAGAAAAATAAACAGATTCCAGAGACTTCAGAAACAGATAGGACTTAATAATGGAGGGAAAGGGATCTAGTTTGGTAAGTTACAGCTTGACTAATCTATTGGAGGATGAGAAGAATGATCAATCATCGACAATGATAGTGTTGAAAGTACAGTAGTCTCATATCTTCATTTAAATTTCTGGCGAGAGGTCTGATGACCTGCTAAGGAATATGTTGTGCACATACATGATATTTGCCTTCCTAGCATTTCTTTTCTGTTCACTGGGAACCTCATCTGGTTTTTCCTCTCCACGTGGACCTTAGGAGGGCTGCCTGTCACAGTAAACGCTCCCTTATATCACAGAGTTGGACACATCACCAAGCCTGGCTAATGGGAAAATACAAGCCCACTGATCACAGTAACCAGTTCAGAAATGGCAAAGTACCTCAACTAGGTAAAAAAAAAAAAAAGTCCTTCTAGAACTTGATTTTAAAATGCTAAGATAGATCATAATCTATAAAAATACCAAAACCCTAGAAGTAGTAGTACTCACTTTCCTCAGCTAAATGGGAAATAAAGTCTGAAAGCAAATCCAACCTTGAGGAAAGTAGGGTTGAGGCAGAAAGAGAGGTAGAACCCTAGTGACACTGCTTCAGGTCTGTCCACATCTGAAGACAGAAAAGCGTGTACTTACCAGTTCCAAGAATTAAAATCCCCATTTGTGTTTCTAACATAGGCAAACAAAGACACACAGAAGGCAACTGGAAAAATTAAAATATGATGGTGTCTGGTAAAGAATGTCAATAGACTAGCACACTAGATAAACCAAATACCTTCCTCTATGTAAATGCAGAGGTCATCTGCCAAAAGAAAAAAGAAAAAAAAGTAAGGAAGCAAGACAAAGAGAAATCGAAAGCCCAGTGAGAGACGTGCATGAGCACTGATGCTCCAGGCCATGCTGCAGACCAGAAGGAGGCTGCCCGGGCAGGACAACCAAGATCATGAGTGTTAAAGACCTCCTGGGAGAAGGACAAGTCCATGGGCCAGCAGAAGGCAGAAATCTGAAGTTAAAATGGACACATCAAGTCAGAATTTTCA